TATTGCATCTGTAGGTCTCTCTTTCTCTCCCCTTCTTTCCTCCTTCCCTTACGCCCCCACCCTCCACCTCTCTCTTCCTCTCACCTCCTAGACTTCCTAGGACTCACACCTCCCTCCTGCCCGCTGGGCCCGCGCCCCCAGTCCCCTCCCCCGGCCCCCTCCCCCCATCAGGTAGCCCGAGGTCCCCGGCGCGCGCAGCTGACAGCGGACGCATGCCTGCAGCCAATCACCGGCCGGATGCGCTGCGGCTTGAATAGATCTTTAAGCCTGACACGCGCTCGGGCCCGCGCTCCGCTCGGCAACCTGCTTCCTGCCATTAACCTACACACCCTCTTTTGTAACAACCTAATCTTGTAGACAAAGGGCGAAGGAATAGAACTTGGACCTGCGTTTGCGCCAAGCCCTCCTTCGCCTTTGCGCCGGGAATGAACGTTGGCGGCCCTCCTTCACCTCCCTACCCAGCGCTGACTCTGGAGAACTTGGAGTTTCTGGAGAAATCCGAAAAGGATCCTTTGGGGATCCGGGAGGGGAGAGGGTGAGAAAGAAGCTCAGATGCGTCTCAGCAACCAGAGCGGGAACAAGGTCGCAGACATTTAGGACCCTGGAGAAGCTTGCGCCAGGTGTGAAATCCAGGTTCCCCTGAAGCATACCTCTGGGAGAGCCCCTTCTAGACCATACAAATTAAGGCAGGTGGTAAAAATACGAACTAAATTTAGCAGTTGGCCCTCCCTTTGTGACAGTCCTGCGGATGTGGCTGAGGGAGTGGATAGGTGAATGCATGGGTGCATGGACAACAGCGACGTCTTTGTTCTAAGTGGTGCTAAGTGCTCACCACCACCACTCTGCCCGGTTCAGGAAGATGCGCGAATAAGTTAGGTTTTGCATTCAGATAGTCAGCAACCATTAGCAGACCCGTCGCTTTTCATCCACCTGCAGTGCCTGCGTGTGATACTGGGGTAGCTTGTGTGGTGCTATGGTGCCCGAAACGATGCCACCAGTCGTTCCCATACCAGCATGGTCACTTGGCAAATAGATTTCAGAGGAACTTTCAGATTAAGACAGATTAGGGAGAAAGACCTGGAGGTCTTATTCTTTTTTTAGGTCAATGAAAAGCTTATGGATCATCACAGAACACTATCCAATCCAGTTCCTTTGAGCACATCATTAGGAGGGGTGGATCTCTGGAGGAAAACGTCATGTTGGACTTGTAGAGTTGGCTAGTCACAGCAGCCTCCGTTTCACAAGCCTGAGGAATAGCTTTAGGGCCCAGCAGCATTTCCGTTTGTTGTGCCTACAGTCCCCATGCGTAGGAGTTGTGTGACTGCAGCGCTCTAAATCTTTCAGTGATGTTTTAAGGGAAGGTATTGCTATCCTCAACTTCCAGAAAAGAAAATGTAATTGACTTGTAAAGTTTCAAATGGACCATTCCTGAGGCCCCACTCCCCACCACCACCCCCTACACAAAAATATGGATGTGATCTTCCAGATTTAGGTGCTGGGCAGAGTTAAGACACTAAATTAGCCTACTGCCTAAGAGCCTTTCTTACTGATAGCCTTTTAAGTCCCTGAAAATGTAACACAAAATGTGTGCATCCAGGAGGTCCTGTTGGGGGAAGAGCCAGTGTCTCGGTCGGGGCAGCAGGAGCAGAGGGTACAGTGTAAAAGGGGTAAGTGGAAAAAGTTGAATGGAAAGACAGAGATGGGGGTGGGTTTAGAGAACCCACATGATTAGCAACAATGAGAGCTGTGGACCCCAGCAAGAGCTATAGTCGAGCCAGAGAAAGCTCCTAAGAGAGAGGCTTCTCTTAGACCATGGAACAGAGTAGCTGCCAATGCAACTGAGGGAGAAGGGACATAAATGCCCTGGTTCATCTCCCTCCTGACTTGCACTCTCCTGCTGGTGCTATCCACTGACCTTAGCCTTAGGAGGCTGAGGGAACCCTAGCCCTCCATGTAAGGCCAGCCTCCTGGAATGCACAGCCAAGAAAGGAAGGGTGGAGAGTTCATCTGAAAGAGGAGAGACAGGGAACACGACACCGGTGCCAACCGAGCAGACAGGACCAGACCACCCCTCCATCCAACCAATGTGTCTGACCACAGGCTGGGAAGCAACAGATAGCCAGACAAATCTCCTGCCCTCCCCTGTTGTGTATACCATCTAGGAGGGTCCATGGCCAAGGACCCTGTGGACAAACAAGCACAGGATGCTGTGTGTTCACATAGCGGTGAAATCCAGGAAGGAAACCAAGATAATGGCTAGAGAGTGACTGGAAGTGATCAGGGAAGGCTTCACCAGGGAGGGCACTGTGAGGTAAGACTACCAGGATTCCTACAATTCTGCACCTCTTCCTGGATGTCTGTCTCTTTACCTCTGTGGTTTGTGTGTGGAAGCCTGGAATCTAGACTGATCAGAATGCCTCCACTGACCAGTCCTCAGGAAAAATGAGAGACAGGCATAATGGCTACTTGCAGAACATGTGGATCCAGCGTGTCATGCAGTCTCCCCACAAAGGCGTTTGCTCACTCCTTTACAGCCATTGTTTCATCTGGGAGCAGCTTTGCAAACAGGAACCTTGGAGCTGAGCAGGGAGGACGGGCCTGTGGGACTGTTTCAACATCCCCGTCCTTGCAAGAGCAGCAAGATGCTCAGGGTCCTCTCTCCCTCTGGATCCCACCCCTGGGATCAGACTGGGGGCTGAAAAGTTTCTACTCTCTTCCCAGAGGGGCTGATCTGAACTTTCCTCCGTGTCTTCCCTCCACACACCCTCAAGAAAGAAAAAGACTGGGTCAAGCCTGCATTCAACAGTATTGAAGCCAGCACCTGCTTTCTGCCTTCTCCCCTCTCTCCACTCTTCATCCCCCTCAATTTCAGAGGCGCCTCCAACTTTCACGCAGTAGTCTGCAGCCCACTGATTGGCTAGATTAGATCCCTCAGTCAAGGAAGCATTGCTGCTCCTTTCCTCAGCACCACACCTCCTCCCCAAGCTGAAGTGGATACTGGGCCGAGGGCGAAGCCGTGATTCCTGGCCGCTGGGGTCTACATTTTGTATACTTCGTTGACTGCCCAGAGCCGCGGCAAAGCCCGCAGCGCAGCCAATGGGCTGCGGTGATTTATGGAGCTGACTAATGCCGGCTGAATGCGGCCTGTCAGGGCGCTGTGAATGGCTTCCCTTCACCGCACAAGCCCAGGCTTTGTGTTGCTAAGCGATTAGAGCAGATGTAATGAGATTTTGCCCAATCCTCGCTTTGCCCTTTCCTAGCTTAGGCAAAATTGTGTGTGTGTGTGTGTGTGTGTGTGTGTGTGTGTGTGTGTGAATTTTCTGAGTTTGCCTTCACTTTGTGGAAAACAGCAGCTAACTTTGCCTGGAGTTGAATGAGAGACTGGAGATTCCCCCATTCAGAAGTGAATGAAAAGGCACCTGCCTGTCCTCACAAGGAGGAGAGGGGCGACCACCCCTCCTTTGTAGGGGCTGCAGCTTTATCCTAATGTTATGTTCATAGCCATCAATGACTTGTTAGACTTTCTTACCACATCTTATCTGGAAACTTGCAGAGGAGTAAAAGGTAAAAGAAAAAGAAATGGAATGTGAGGGGTGGGCAGGCCAGGAGAGCCCAGATCTGTCGCTGCAAAGGTGGAGTTGAAATAATGGCAGGGCTTCCCTCAAGGAAGCTCTAAATTGCCTCAGGGCTGGCAGAAAGTCCGATTATTTATGGCGAAGACTGATTTTTTTTCCCTTAATGACGCTCATCTCTTTGAAAGGGACTGAAGCCTCAGTGTGCATTCTATAGAGGGTCATTTAGCAAAATGACATCAGACGCTGCGTCGTGCTCCGCGCATCGAGGCTTAAAAAGAAGAAAGCAAAAAGATTATTCGGTGCCGCTAAATGGTATAGATGTACCAACACAGACTAGATTTTTAACTCTGGAAGACGTGCTGGCTCCCCGCTCTTTGTTGGGTTTTGTAAGATGCATTTTGCGCTCGCCTTTCCGCTTGGCTGGAGACACGCAGACAGAATCTGCAAGTACTGCAGGCGGCGAGCGAGGAGCCGGCCAGAGGCGGAGTAGGATTCTGATCACGTCCTCGCTAACTGACAAGAAGCGAGCCAGCCAAAAAACCCCACTAATTTCTTTTTGAATCTTGGTAATTGGGTACTTTTACACGCAGCTCACGCTAGTCCGATAGAGTCACAAGCTTAGATGGGCCCGAGTCTCAAAGAGACCACACATCTCTGGGTTGTTGTTCTTGTTGAAATGTATTTCCATCTAACGCCTTCCCCAAGGAATGTATAGCATCCGTGCCTCTTCCTGAAAATCAACACGGAAAGTGGGTGGATTGGGAGGAAGGGGCAGAAGATGTGCCTGGAAGTGAGAAGAGAAGAACACACCCACCACAGGGGGCTCCCCCCGCCCCCACATACACCAACTCTACCACCACCACCACTCTAGCACCCACCCCAACCTTCCATTATTTCATCCACCCTTTGGCCAGTGGGCACAATGAGAAACTCAGAATGGGGGTCCCAGATTGGAAAGCGGTACAGTTCACACTTTGGGGAAGGTTTGAGGGTGTTTTTTTTTTAATGTGCAGTGATTTTTTTTTAAAAAAGGATGTTGCAACCATTAACCAAAGCCCCTGGATGATCTCCCTAGGAGTGAATCAACCAGAAGGCAAAGTTTGGCTTGTCTGAATTATGCCCCTAAATGTGTACTCATTTGCAGCACAAAAGGGGACTAGAAAGCACTGTTACCTACACGTTTTCCCTCTCTACCATCATGCTAGAGGTCTCAGTGAGAAGAAGGCTCAGTTTTGTCCTTGCTGCCACTTGGCACATTCTGCACCACCCTCCTCTCCCCATCCATCCCTCCCTCCCCTTTGGCCTTTCACTAACAACTGAGCTAGAGTATTGGAGTCAAAGAAGGCTTGGAGGCAGATGATGATTTTCATTTGTAAAAAAGAAAAAAAGTTTTATTACGAAACTAGTTTGTATAAAACAGGGTTATACACTTTGTGTGTGTGTAAGTTTGTAATAAAACAGTAATGGAAAAAAAAGAGCAGTGATAGAAATTTCCCAAAAGGCAACCCATCACAACCAACTGGCTGCCACTTTGCGTTTGGACAGTAGCTGCATAAACTTTGTTCTTCTAGAACAGTATTTAATAACATCATTAATACATTAACAACGTTTCTATAAAGTAAGACACATCGGTGCTGAAGTACATCTGGTGGTCTTTGGATCTCACCTGTGAGGAGAGGTCTTTACAAAACCACGTGGGGAAAAGGGCCAGTGTAAAGTGAACTACACATCTAAAATATGCAGAGGTAATAGCATTACATGTTAAAGTATCAAGATATACACATTTTAAACCATTTGTACAAAAACTTCTATAAATTTTTCTCTCTTTCTTTCTTATGTACAAAAATATCTTAATATATCCCCAAACTGGTTAGGATAGATACAAATAGACTTCTCTTATAATAAAAAAAATCACAAAAGATTGGAAGCATTCTATGATGAAAATGATAGAAAAGATGGTGTGAGGAAGGGCTTGGGCCTGGGGTCCTGGAAGAGGAGTAAGATTTCAAAAGACTGAGAGTACCACATAGTTTCACTGTAGACAGGTGTCCACAGCTTATTGGGATGAAACACCAACCCGTTTCTAGAACTGAGCTTTGAGAGAGGAGTGGGGGGAGAGGTGGAGACCCCCAACTAAGTGCTTTCAGTTATGGGGGTTAGTGGTGGGTGGGAGTTTCAGCAGGACATATGCTGCCCCCTTTCCCTATGCAGGGAGCCCACTGGTTTTACACACAAATGGCAGGGTGTGCGCTGTCTCAGGTCCTAGTCACTCCTAATACTCCATGAATGAATGCTTGCAGTGCAAAGATGCTGTTCTGAGCGCATCTCTGTCCTCAGAGTCTGGCAACTCCAGCTCTCCTTGCTTAGTGCCATTGGGATTGGTTGACTGTTTCCTGCTGCTGTTTCTCTTCTCCATCTTTTATATTTGTTTGCTTTTCCCTTTTCCTCCCTCCCAACGTCGCTGAGGCGAAAACACCAAAGATGCAGGTTCGCTCACCCTGTAACATAAAAGAGAAGAACACAGCAGGGGAGGTTAGTGTGAACTTAGAGGCCAAGTGGTTGGGTGGGATGGAAGTTTCAGGGAGGGTCTCTCAGGTCTCCTTGGTTGTCCTCCCAGTCCTTGGTTGGACAGCGTCTCCCCACCTCCTCCCTCCCCTCCTTGCCCTTCCAGGGAGATCTTGGAAGCCACTGCTGAAACTAACAGAGTAGGATTGGAAATGGGCAAACTTGGCAACAAATCCTTTACATCAAAATCCCCGTCTCCCTGGAGACAGTCCCATTCCCCCGCCCCCCTCGCCCATCAACACACACACACACACACACACACACACACACACACACACACACTATGGAGGAAGGACAAAAAAAGAACGATGGAGACAAGAAAAGTTTCCCCCACGCACACCCCAAAGTGCCACCTACCTGCTTCCAAAGTCCTGTGGCACCAGGGCCGGGCCAGGCCGAACCCCTTAGAACCAGTTGGTGAAGTCGAGCAGTTCTTGCTCCTCGGGACTGAGCGGGTCGTAGGACCCCTCATCGGAGGAGTAGGAGGAGACCGGCGAGCCGGCCATTGAGTTCATGTCATTGGAGTAGTTGGGGGAGATGGTGGGCGACAGGACGCCGGCCTGGAAGGCGGCGCTCACGGCGTCGTGCTCGTCCAGCAGCTGCTGCAGCGCGCGGATGTACTCAACCGCCGAGCGCAGCGTCTCCACCTTGCTCATCTTCTTGTTGGCCGCGCCGTTGGGGACGTGCTCCCGCAGGGTGGCGAAGCCCAGGTTGACCAGCTTGACGCGGTTGCGCTCGCGCTCGTTGCGGCGCGCCACGGCGGCCGGCTGCTGCTGCGGCAGGCTGTAGCCGAAGCCGCTGAAGTTGAGCCGCCGCTTGCAGCGCATCAGTTCGGGCGAGGCCGAGCGCTGCCGCTTGACTTGCTTGGGCGCTGACTTGTGACCGCCCCCCGAGGGCTGGCCGTCGGCCGCGGGGCTCAGCTGCCGCGCGGGTGGCGGCGGCG